GAAGCAAACTTAGCTTAAGCCTCCACACCAGTAGGGGGGGCCGCATAGTCCTAGAACTCTAGACAATTTGGAAATGATCCAGTAATTCAAGCACAAACTGACTTTTTTTTTTAAATAACTTTTCTGAAAATTAAAGCGATTCTAAGTTTACAATTTATCTTCAAAAACAAGTATACAAAAATATGTCTGCCACTGAGCCAACTAAAAACATTACCAAAAAAAGTTGAATCATTTGTATTTATTGCGTGATGTATTAATCAAAATATCATCATCTGGGTTTTAACACATATTGATCCATATAAATTCTGTCCCTCTTGTTTAGCTTTAGTATAAACAGAAATGTTAGCATAAGCAAACAAAATGGCTGCTCAGGAATGGCGAGCTAGCATTCTCAATATCAGTAGGTTCATAGATTAATTTATTCTTTAAAACAGCAAATATATCATTCTCATCTGTTTACACATTTGCAGTATTAATGTTTTTGATAAATGGTTGCTTGATTTGTTTGTATTTATTTTTATATAAAAACAAATCCATCTTTAGCAATGCAAAACAGAGTTCAATAAATTGACTCATATCAATGCTAAGTTATTTGATCCTAAATTCATTCCTTAGTTTTTTTCAGTCTAGATATAAAGCGAAAACATTTTTATAAATGGGGTTTAAAACAAAAACCTGTGCAGTTTCTCCTGAGATCTGATATTTTTGCAACTGTAAGCAGCAGCAGGGGATATATTTAGCTTTATTATTTCACTCCAGTTTACAGATGTCACAGGGACACATCGCTTTAGCTGGTATTTACTTACAGGACCAAAATAAAAATCTTTAAGACAAAAAAAGAAATTGAATAAAATGTTCAAAGTTTGATAAAACAGCTGATTAAGCTAAGTCATGTTTTAAATTTGTACCTGTTTTGCAGCAGTTAAAGCAATGTTGGTCTGAAGTTCCCCCCATAAAATGCTATGCAGGGAGCAACAGAACCATGCTGTGATTCTGGTATCAAGACATAGTAATATTTAAACAGCAAATGTTTTTAAACCTGCTGAAAACATCCCAGATAATGTTCCTGAGGTTTGGTATCTAAATGTTTTCCTTCAATGCAAGACATCATTTTGAATTACGTCATGATACAGAACTGCTCCTGCTCTGTTGCTGCACACTGCCTGTAGGCTGGCTGAAAAGAGGCTTCTTCACTCTTTCCTACTTTCAGAAAAGAACAGTATGGCTAAGCAGGAACACAAGGTCAAGATGGGGAAACAAAAGACGGGATGTCCATCTAATGTAGCACACATCAGCCTGTGTCTACTGAATACATTCACCAGATATCTGCATTGTGGCTCATTTAAGAGCAAATAAGAGAGGCTTATATTTGACTCGCTGTCTGTGATGCAAAAAGCCTAGCCATTATATTCTTACTGAAGCAAAGTAGAGCTTCTAAGGTGCAAAATAGTTGACAGTAGTGCTGAAATTAATTATGGGATCAATTGATCATTTAAATAATCTTTAACTGATTTGATAACCTAACTAAATGATATTTTCCTAAAGTAATGGTACACAAACTCTACAAAACGCATTAGCCAAAAAATAACCCCCTTACAACAGTAATTAAGACATAACCCTTCAACTATATACAATTATAAACATAAAATCTTCAGATTTTACGTTCAAAGATTGATATTTTTTATATAAATGCATACATTACAATATATATATGTACAAATTTGTACATGATTTGCAGTTTTGGACTATTTTTTATTTTATTTTCTATATTATAAATGTGTTAACTGACTAAAAGTATAACTTTTTAGCTTGATTACAATTTAAGCATTTTTATGTGATCCCACTGTGTTTATGTATTGAATCCTCTAAGAATATAAGCTGATATACTATATATGGATATATATATATATCATTAAACTCAAAACCATGTGATTAAAACAGAAAAGAAAATCTAGGAAGTCCAAAAGCTGGTTTTAGGGGAACAATCCTCAAACTATTGATGTAAGAACTTAAGTGATGCTGTTTATCATCAAGAAAACATGAAAAAGAGCCAGAGATGAATATTTATCAGCTATTTTTCTTATCTCCATCTAATAAAATATATCTGTACATGTCCAGGACAATACAACAAACAGAAGCTGGAAAAAAGCAAAGCTGGTCAACCTTTTTTTATGACTGGATTTATATTTATGACTTCAATAAATTACAATCAATATTTTTTACACAATAAATAATAGAAATATGTTAATTTCCATCTAACTTCCTCTGCTAGCTGGTGCCTTCTGTCCATTGAAGCCTCTGCTGTCACCTTTAAGCAGGAGAACCGCTCCGGCTGATAGAGGAGCTGACTCCTCCACGCAGGAGCGCCGGAGTCCACTCCACCTCTTCTGAGAGTCCTCCGTGCATCTGGCACGCAGCCAGACACCTCGTGCGTGATTCATCCGTGTGTGAGAGAGTGCGCGCGCGCGCGTGTCACTATGGGAGCAGGGGCCCACGGTTACTACACCGTCTGGCCTGGACCATCCGTGTAAACACAGCGTCTTCTAGTGGTCAACTCAGATACAGCCAGTGGGTTTAAAATGGCCACTGGTGCTGGTGGACACTGCAGCACAGCAGCCTGTTTTTGGCCAAGGCCACACGCAACAACCCCCCCTCCCACTCTGAGCTGTTTACTCAATATCCCCGTTCACTGTTAATCCATAAACTGGCACCCAGAGAACTAGTTGCAACTTAAGGTGGATCCCAAAACTGGAAAAAAAAAAAAGCCAAACAACCGAATTAGATCACTCAACATGTTTTATTAACAACACAGCAGATCAATCTGATGAAGACGCAAAAATAGATCCTTTTAAAAAGGTTTAATATTCAGGGGTTTTGATCATAAAGTTCCAACAGTCTTTTTTTTTTTGTATTATCATTTAAGACAAACATTACAATGAAGCAGCAAAACAAATGGAATATTTCATTTAACATTCATATGGGTTGCTGTGATCATCATATAAAGATAAGGCCTTGGCTGAAATTAACATAAATATTGAAGCAATGGTTTCATATTTCAACCACCTGCTCCGCAGGGAGCCACTGAGGACGGGCACACAACTGCAATGATTGTCACAGTCCCTGATCTGCCCAGAGATGATGGTTAGAAATCAGTGCGGGAACCACAGGAATTAGGAAAAAAAAAATCTCTGGAAGACACCTCGACAATACTGAATGATCTGAGAGGGGGTTAGAGAGCGTGAGCAGTCAGGGAGGGACGGCTTCTTCTGCGGCGCTGCCCTATGCGTCTTTCTTTTTGATGATGAGGGGCCCCACGTTGTCTCCGGTTTCCTCGTTATGCTTGGCGTGGGCGCCGTCGCAGTACGGGAACTGCAGGAAGAGAGAACAGCGTCAGCATCGTCCACATCTTTAACTTCCATGACAACCGGAACAAAACCAACATCTGCAGCATCTGATTCTGCATTAAGCTGAATTAATGTTAATATTTGGCCACTTTGATTCATTTTTACACATTATAAACAGCTGTAGATAAACATTGAAATGGCTAAAAATGTATTTTATAGCAGATAACAGGATGTGTGAAGGTATAGAAGACTTTTATCCTCTCGCTGAACCTACAGGACTAATCAGCATTAGCGTCCACATGGAACTGTCCCAATCAAGGAAAAGGGTCGGCTTTCTTAGAGGAAGTGCTTCCCCTACAGGTGGCGATAAACTTTAGTGCTGCCAACATGGCTTTAAAATACAGATTTGTTTTTGTTTAAATAAGTTAAATCCTCTTTTTGTTACCCCTGCGGTTTTTAAATGTGCTATAGAAATTAAATTGAATAACTCAGACATAATAAATGGCTCTTAAAGCCCTTAGTGAAAAATTATGATGAAAAGAAATTGGAACTTTAAAAATAAATCTCACCTAATGCTTTATTTTTTTTAAATATGTCAATAAAATTATTCAGTAGTTTTTCTTTCTTAGTCAAGAAAGAACTAATATCTCCTTTTAGAATGAAACATACATTTCATATTGTTAGACTTCTAGAATGCCAATAATTGTGTGCAGACCAAGCTTAATTAATTCAAGTTAGATCTTAAAGGTACGGTTGAGGGTTTCTGCAAATATTTGAAAAGACCCACCCTCTCCACGCACAACCCTATACCCGCTCCCGAGAGGGCACGCCTATTAAATGGTGCGATAGCGTGCACGAGTCCATTTCTCCTTGTGCACGCTCCATTCAAAAGTTGTTGTTTGCATCACCCATACAAGCTTACTTTCAAGAGATTTTTTTATTTTTCCACCATGTCAGACTAACTATGGGTAAGTGAAAATGGGAACGAGCACGTAAACATATCACCAGACTTATTGACAATTAGGAGGACCACTTATTTCCATGATCCAGCCGGAAAAAGAACATCCTCTATTTTATTTTTAATATATTTTCATGCAAGTTTACACGATATCTCATTGAGGTTGTAAATCCCCTCTTTTATATCCGACCTTTTTAGATTTCCAGCAGCGGCAGTACACAGCCTTGGCGCCGATATCCTCCATGTCAAAGCTGTGCACCACTTTGGGGCTGTCTTTGCTGACAATCGTGTTCACTTGGCTCTTCTTGCAGCTGCGGCCGCTCAGGTAACGGCTGACCAGAAAACCAGCAGCCGCCGAAACAACTGCCACCGGCACAGCAACCAAGAAATGTTCTAGAGAAACAAAAATATAGAGATAAAAAAAAAAAGGAGGAATTAGGCTGGTTAGTGTAGAGCAGAAGCAGCTGATGGTCTCTAAAATCCATTCTAGATTTTTGTGTGCAGCTGGAATTTTATGAAAAGAATAAATACATAGAAGAGCTAATTTCACCAAGGATACTTAAGGTTTCTGAATGCTTTTAACATCAAACCTCTACAGGTTTACCTTTTTATTTACTACTTTAGAAGGACAAAAAGCCACAGTAAATGTATTGACTCTATTTCTGCAGAGGACAGAATTTAAATAGGGGTTCTGCAAAAAAAAAAAAAAAAAAAACCTTAAATGAGATGAATGGATAATGGAAAACTGATTATTGGGAAAATAACTTATAAATGGTTACACATTATAGACAAAGTTGGTGAAAGAGCTTTAAAATACAGATATTTATGGTCTTTTTTTTTTTTTAGCCTGAAATAGAGACTGGACCTGGGAAGTACTTTAAACAAACTAACGTTCCCAGAATATTAACGCTAAAATACAAATAACCCAGCTAACCAAAGGGGGCATAATAAAAAAAAGTTTGTTTTTAATTGTAATAGGGGCTAAAACCTACAGATCGCAGGTCCTGGTCTGTTTTCCAGGCTCCAGTTTAATCAGTTTAAGGCGTAAACATGGGATCAGATGGCTGACCGGTTAGCTAAACATCACAAGACAGTCACACTAAGCAAGAAGCCAAATAGTGGAGCGACTTCTACTTCTTCACAGCCGTCCAGTCTGTAGTTGAAGCTAAAATAATCCGCAGTAAATACCCTGCTGTCGGCGCTAAACTGCCTGGTAGCCTTGGAGCCAAGCACGCGCCCCGCTGAGCTAATTCAATAACTAGTATGTAAGTTAGCATTGAGCTAGCTTAAACAGTGTACCTTTGGTTAACCTGAAACCGGAGTTGTGGACCACTGCCATCGGACACACAGGCAAACACAAACTATCACAGATATGTAGACGTCGCCTTTTCTTTGCGCCGTGGGTTGTTTGCGGTCAACGTTGAGCAGCAAGGTCAACCGGTTAGCTTCACAGAACTCTGCCCACTGCTAGGCCCCGCCCATATACTGCTACGTCATATAAAAGCGACCAATTAGGACCCGCTAATGCAAAGCATGCTTACGAACCAAAATGCACCCGGCTTTTCTCCTCTGTAGATTAAAGAATGAAGAAAAAATACATTGCAGTTGTTTAATTTAATCTTTAAGACATATATATTTAGGGGAAAAGGCACCGATGTCTCATCTCAGACAATTAAAAAAACAAAAACGGACCCAAGTATATATACAACCTACATAAAAGACCCACATTTAATAATAACACAATGATGCTCTCAAAATTTTCTAGATTATTTGAGAAATTGTTTTCTAAGCAATAGAGAAATTTATTGAAAACAACTAGTGTGAATTAATATAACATTCAGACCAAATATATGGAGGACCAAACCTGCCATAATTAAAAATAAACACAGAAATAAATACATGCTCCAAAAATAAATAAGCATACCATTAATTGCACTCCCAAAATACAATAAACAAATAAATGTAGGTAGAAATTAAATTATACAGTGAGACATAAATATATCTCTTTTAATTAACTTCTTTGTTTATTTCCCTTTGTAACAATTACCTTATTTATTTATTGTCCGTTCTAATCTTCAACTTTATTTCTTTATTGCTTATTTCTTTAAGTATTTATTTATGTGCATGTTATAATATTTTTGTCTGGTTTATTCTTCCTTTGTATTTTTTTACCCTATTTATTTCTTCCATGCTATTTCTGTCTGCATTTCTACCTCATTATGCAAATGAGGAGGGGGTGTATCTTAAGGGCTCAACTTCTGCCCATTGGTTGGTTATCTTCATTTCTAAACTGCATAATTATGGTGTAAGAGGTACGGCATAAGATTGATTATTCAGTTAGTAATGAAAAAAAATAAATAAAAAATAAAAAAATCTAGGCCTACACTTAGGGCCTTATATGTCTGACAATAAGATTATTCAAGGTAGTGTTCCACAGGGTTATATTTTGGGTCCAACTATTTTTATTTTGTACATTAATGATATTTGTGATGTTAAAATAGAAAGCCTTATAAATGAAATGAAGCTTGAAAGATGTATGATTTTAATAAGTTATCATTTATTTTGAAAAAAAAAAAAAAAACGTTTACCGTGTTGCTAATAGAAAACAGGAGGAAATTGTGTTTTGTATCGATGGTGTGAGTATCAAAGGAGTGCATGAAGTTAGATTTCTGGATGATTGGATGATAGATTAAGATGGAAAAACTCACATTTCATATGTTAAATCGAAATTAGCCAAAACATCTTTATTTTGAATAAGGTAAAGCACATTTTTTCATACAAATTTATGATAATGCAGTACAATGCACTGGTTTTACCATGTTTGATGTATTTTTTGGTTGGGCAATACATATAGGAGCTGTATTAAACCAGAAAAGAGACATATGAATATGTAAAGTAGGTTATAGGGAACATACTGACTCTTTTTGTTTGGTTTATTGAAACTAATGGATTTAGTTGACCTCTCCTAAGGACAGAGGTCTCTGCATTTTATAGAGAGTGATCATGGGCCTCTGGGCTGCATGTCTGATCTGTCTTGAACTGAAAGTTTAGAGGGACAGTCGGGTCTTCGTAGATCCACAGTGATCTGATACCCCATTTGAATATTATCACCTGCAAAGTGCTCCTTTGGACGTTTGAAGCTTAAGAAATCTTTTTGTATCAAAATTTAGCTTTAAACTTATCCACAGCAGTATCTCACACCTTCTTCATGATGCTTTCTGCACATTAGACCCGTGAGACTACCACACAGCAGGTGCATATTTACAGAGACATGATTCCACACAAGTGGATTTTATTTATCATCAGTCATTTAGGTAACATTGGATCATTCTGAGAACCTCTGCCCCACTCAGATTTTTAATTCTGAAAAGTTTGAAATATCCAATACATTTGGTTCCACTTCATGATTGTGTCCCACTTGTTGATGAATCTTCACAAAAAAAAAAAAATATATAGTTTTCCATCTTTATGTGAGAAGCCTAAAATGTGGCAAAAAGTCAAAAAGGCCTAATACTTTCTCAAGGCACTGTATATGTGACTAAATTATGGTCAGTCTCCACCAGAGGGCGACAAAATCAAGTCTCTTCCCTAAATGTGAAGACAATCATATATATTTAACGATAGCATGAAATGTAACAATTTAAACTCCAGTATTCCCCCTAAATTTTTTAAAAACCATAGATATGAGTCCAAAATGGCAATCTTACTTTTTTAGATCAGGATTCTGCAACCTGTGGTTATTTGGACCCTTATAAATGGCTCCTATAGTGGCTAGAATGTTAAATATCAAGCGTCTTTTTTTTTTGTTTTTAAAAAAAGAATCACAGGCTTGTTATGGAAACTTCAGCAGGTTTCTCTCTTTCTCTACCAGTACGACATTAAAACGGTTAATATATTTTAGATTTTTCTTTTCCTTGGAAACCACCATATTGCAGAAATATTGACATCTTTAAAATAAAATCTTCATATTTTATGATTTTCCTAATTCCAACAGCTTAAAATATAAAAATAAAGGGCAACAGATTTCCCATTGCACATATTTAAAAAATAGTTTTTAAAAAAGTAACAAAAAAAACTTTGGCAGCCTTTTACTTTTATTTGGATGGACTCAGGGCAACATTGCTCTTTTCAATTTAAATATTTAGCCTGGATTAGCCTATAATGCTTGGAAATTAATTTTTGAAATATTTTTTTAATCAGTACATTGTTCTTGTTTTAAAAGACAAAAATCAGCTTTTCTAAATTTATACAAATCATACTCTGGAAATTGATTCGTCTTTTTTTTTTTCCACAAACAAGATAATATAAAAGTAATAAAAATAAGGTCTGAAAACTAGTCAACTATTTGTTTTTAATTCAATTTAGAAAACAAACCAAATAACTTCCCTTGTTTGACTGTTTAAACTGTAAGAATATCTCAACAGGTCTTTATATCTAAAAAATGTCCTGTATGTAAAAACCTGCTAAGTTTGCAAGTTTCTCAGCTTTATGTCTCCTATAAGACCTTTCCAGATATCTAACAGATGCAGCAGGAGTTAAATGACCATTTGTTACATGACTATAAATACCGTTTCCATCACATCGAATTCCAAGAAGCTTTAAGCATGAATTTGATGAGACTTTGATCGACGTTGTCCAAACAAGCCTGACAATGAGTCAACACAGGAGTCAGAGGTTTTTATTACACAGTTTAATCAACACACAAAGCTCAACGAGCCTCTCAGGTAATTCAATATACAGAGGTTTTTGTGCAAGAAGAGTGGGTTCTCCTCGCACCCAGAGCCCAAGCCAGTCCCGTAGCCATTTCAGATGTTAGCCGCTAATATGACAATAGCAAAAGGTAGAGGGGTTGGGGGGATGAACAAAAATAAAAATAACGGGGGAAAGAAGCAACCTAAAAAAACAAAACCAAAAAAAAACAAAAGGAGTAGAAGAAAATAAAAACAAAGGTTAAACTTAGAAAACGATCTGCTTAAATAGCTGGTCCAAAACCTCCACTTTTAGAGTAAAGAAAAGGTGGCGGTGGTGACGGGGGTACAGCTGTGTGTGTTTGAAGGGGTCAAAGGTGAACGGAGGACATGGAGTATGAGGTGTGTGAATAAATTCAAGTCCTTTCATAGAATCCAACAGAAGAACGAAATGGGCCATAAGCATCTTTCACTATACACAGCCTGCAATGACTTATGGGTTTTATGTTAGAAAATAGAGTGCCCTTTGACTCACATGTGAAAACTGCTTTCTTGATTCATCTCCTTTGCAGATGGAAACTGTTTCAACAAAACCAGAAAAGTTGAGGTGTAAAAAATCCCTCCTCCCCGCACCCCCCTCCCCCCCGAAAAACAAAAGGAAAGAAAAAAAAAAATCACAAAGATCCCCTCGAAGTTTTACAGTTTTTAATAGGAATGCTTTTAGTAAAGATGGGTCAGGATGCAGGCATGCAGGAATAGAGGGTACATGGTGGGTCGGCGACAGCCCAGCCTGCTTGGATGTCGAAATGCAACCGAACAAAGAGGTGAGGAGATGGGATCAGAGCGTGGGGGGTGGAGCAAGTATGGTCAGGAGAGAGGCGGTTTATTTTCTAGAGTTGACAGTCTGTACACTGGAGGATGGGCAGATGAGCTGAGAGGCAGGGTGGAGGGGCGGGGGGGAGGAGGAAGGAACAGTCAAACGGTGGGGGAGAGAGGGGGGAGGTGGGGCAGAGGAAGTTTTACAGGTACTGTGGTGAAGGAGGGGCATGGCTCAAAGAAAGCACTCCAATGGAAACCAACAAGATCTTGTTTTAAACTTCTCATTTGTTTGTACGGTTTTTTGTATTTGTTTTTTTCTTAACATCTGAATCTCCCCCTAGCCTTGCGTCGTAGAGGTGGTTGGCCATGTTTCTACCCCAGCACTACATTGCATACTTTTGTGTCCATTCCCGGGCTATTTTGTTGTACCTGTGAACAGATCAAAAGCAAAAACAAAAAGGATCAGTCCTGGAATATTGGTTAAAAAACAATAACCATACATGCTAAAACGTTCCTACTTAGAATACACAAATATATTAAATAAAACTGCTGCCTGTTAAGAGCTTCTAAATGATTCCAGACTTAAAAAACAAAATTAAGAAAATTGAAACAAAAACATATGTAGTCTTGCTCCAAGATTAGATGTGTGCAGATAAATCTGCTGGTGTCATAAAGTTACGTGAATAAAGTCATATTATTACGAGAATAAAGTTGCAACATTACAAGAATAAAGTCAAAATATCATGAGAAGCTGGTGTGCTAAAAGATTTCCTTATTTATGAAACGGATGCAAAAGTATAACTTCACACGATGCTCCAGATTCCTCATTTTAGGGAATAAAGTGCTTCTTGTAAAAGTCATAAAATACAACTTTATTCTCGTAATGTTGCGGCCCTATTCTGTTAACGTTGTGGCCTCATTCTCGTAACGTTACAATTAGATTAGATTAGATTAGATTAGATGAGCTCTATTCATCTCACAGCGGAGAAATTCACTGGTCACATATTGGCATAATTAAAGAAGGTGCAAATAAGGAGGAAAAAAGTGCATTAGGAATAAACAATATATATAATATATCAAGGTATATACAGTATATCAACATAAATAAGGATTAGGGTGCAAGTGTACATACATGTATCACACACAATGAAAAACAAAATAAAAATAATAAATAAATAAAAAAATACAAAAAATACAACGGAGTAACACAGAGATTTGAGATGTCATATGTACAATCAGGATGGCTTATATACAGGTGGATTGACTTTTAGATTAGAGTGTAGTAGGTAAGGTACAACCTTATTCTCGTAATATTATGACTTTATTCTCGAAAGAAAAAAAATCTCTAGCCTGGCCCTAATACTCTGTGGTACCGTAGTTTCGGAGCTCCAACAGTTAGTTGAAAACTAAAATAACAGGTTCTTAGCCAATCAGTGAACACTCCGTACCTAAACACTCAGACGCTGCAGCAAACATGATCTTTGTGGTGGATGCTTACGCAGTAAAGGAAATGAAAAGGTCTTTGTTCAGTATTGTGAGTTTCTAAATGAAATCAGAACAACTGAGAGATAAACTGATCTGTTTAAAAAAAANTTAATTAACTTCTTTGTTTATTTCCCTTTGTAACAATTACCTTATTTATTTATTGTCCGTTCTAATCTTCAACTTTATTTCTTTATTGCTTATTTGTTTAAGTATTTATTTATGTGCATGTTATAATATTTTTGTCTGGTTTATTCTTCCTTTGTATTTTTTTACCCTATTTATTTCTTCCATGCTATTTCTGTCTGCATTTCTACCTCATTATGCAAATGAGGAGGGGGTGTATCTTAAGGGCTCAACTTCTGCCCATTGGTTGGTTATCTTCATTTCTAAACTGCATAATTATGGTGTAAGAGGTACGGCATAAGATTGATTATTCAGTTAGTAATGAAAAAAAATAAATAAAAAATAAAAAAATCTAGGCCTACACTTAGGGCCTTATATGTCTGACAATAAGATTATTCAAGGTAGTGTTCCACAGGGTTATATTTTGGGTCCAACTATTTTTATTTTGTACATTAATGATATTTGTGATGTTAAAATAGAAAGCCTTATAAATGAAATGAAGCTTGAAAGATGTATGATTTTAATAAGTTATCATTTATTTTGAAAAAAAAAAAAAAAACGTTTACCGTGTTGCTAATAGAAAACAGGAGGAAATTGTGTTTTGTATCGATGGTGTGAGTATCAAAGGAGTGCATGAAGTTAGATTTCTGGATGATTGGATGATAGATTAAGATGGAAAAACTCACATTTCATATGTTAAATCGAAATTAGCCAAAACATCTTTATTTTGAATAAGGTAAAGCACATTTTTTCATACAAATTTATGATAATGCAGTACAATGCACTGGTTTTACCATGTTTGATGTATTTTTTGGTTGGGCAATACATATAGGAGCTGTATTAAACCATAGTTACAGAAAAGAGACATATAAATGTAAAGTAGGTTATAGAGAACATACTGACTCTTTTTTGTTTGGTATATTGAAACTAATGGATTTAGTTGACCTCTCCTAAGGACAGAGGTCTCTGCATTTTATAGAGAGTGATCATGGGCCTCTGGGCTGCATGTCTGATCTGTCTTGAACTGAAAGTTTAGAGGGACAGTCGGGTCTTCGTAGATCCACAGTGATCTGATACCCCATTTGAATATTATCACCTGCAAAGTGCTCCTTTGGACGTTTGAAGCTTAAGAAATCTTTTTGTATCAAAATTTAGCTTTAAACTTATCCACAGCAGTATCTCACACCTTCTTCATGATGCTTTCTGCACATTAGACCCGTGAGACTACCACACAGCAGGTGCATATTTACAGAGACATGATTCCACACAAGTGGATTTTATTTATCATCAGTCATTTAGGTAACATTGGATCATTCTGAGAACCTCTGCCCCACTCAGATTTTTAATTCTGAAAAGTTTGAAATATCCAATACATTTGGTTCCACTTCATGATTGTGTCCCACTTGTTGATGAATCTTCACAAAAAAAAAAAAATATATAGTTTTCCATCTTTATGTGAGAAGCCTAAAATGTGGCAAAAAGTCAAAAAGTTCAAGAAGGCCTAATACTTTCTCAAGGCACTGTATATGTGACTAAATTATGGTCAGTCTCCACCAGAGGGCGACAAAATCAAGTCTCTTCCCTAAATGTGAAGACAATCATATATATTTAACGATAGCATGAAATGTAACAATTTAAACTCCAGTATTCCCCCTAAATTTTTTAAAAACCATAGATATGAGTCCAAAATGGCAATCTTACTTTTTTAGATCAGGATTCTGCAACCTGTGGTTATTTGGACCCTTATAAATGGCTCCTATAGTGGCTAGAATGTTAAATATCAAGCGTCTTTTTTTTTTGTTTTTAAAAAAAGAATCACAGGCTTGTTATGGAAACTTCAGCAGGTTTCTCTCTTTCTCTACCAGTACGACATTAAAACGGTTAATATATTTTAGATTTTTCTTTTCCTTGGAAACCACCATATTGCAGAAATATTGACATCTTTAAAATAAAATCTTCATATTTTATGATTTTCCTAATTCCAACAGCTTAAAATATAAAAATAAAGGGCAACAGATTTCCCATTGCACATATTTAAAAAATAGTTTTTAAAAAAGTAACAAAAAAAACTTTGGCAGCCTTTTACTTTTATTTGGATGGACTCAGGGCAACATTGCTCTTTTCAATTTAAATATTTAGCCTGGATTAGCCTATAATGCTTGGAAATTAATTTTTGAAATATTTTTTTAATCAGTACATTGTTCTTGTTTTAAAAGACAAAAATCAGCTTTTCTAAATTTATACAAATCATACTCTGGAAATTGATTCGTCTTTTTTTTTTTCCACAAACAAGATAATATAAAAGTAATAAAAATAAGGTCTGAAAACTAGTCAACTATTTGTTTTTAATTCAATTTAGAAAACAAACCAAATAACTTCCCTTGTTTGACTGTTTAAACTGTAAGAATATCTCAACAGGTCTTTATATCTAAAAAATGTCCTGTATGTAAAAACCTGCTAAGTTTGCAAGTTTCTCAGCTTTATGTCTCCTATAAGACCTTTCCAGATATCTAACAGATGCAGCAGGAGTTAAATGACCATTTGTTACATGACTATAAATACCGTTTCCATCACATCGAATTCCAAGAAGCTTTAAGCATGAATTTGATGAGACTTTGATCGACGTTGTCCAAACAAGCCTGACAATGAGTCAACACAGGAGTCAGAGGTTTTTATTACACAGTTTAATCAACACACAAAGCTCAACGAGCCTCTCAGGTAATTCAATATACAGAGGTTTTTGTGCAAGAAGAGTGGGTTCTCCTCGCACCCAGAGCCCAAGCCAGTCCCGTAGCCATTTCAGATGTTAGCCGCTAATATGACAATAGCAAAAGGTAGAGGGGTTGGGGGGATGAACAAAAATAAAAATAACGGGGGAAAGAAGCAACCTAAAAAAACAAAACCAAAAAAAAACAAAAGGAGTAGAAGAAAATAAAAACAAAGGTTAAACTTAGAAAACGATCTGCTTAAATAGCTGGTCCAAAACCTCCACTTTTAGAGTAAAGAAAAGGTGGCGGTGGTGACGGGGGTACAGCTGTGTGTGTTTGAAGGGGTCAAAGGTGAACGGAGGACATGGAGTATGAGGTGTGTGAATAAATTCAAGTCCTTTCATAGAATCCAACAGAAGAACGAAATGGGCCATAAGCATCTTTCACTATACACAGCCTGCAATGACTTATGGGTTTTATGTTAGAAAATAGAGTGCCCTTTGACTCACATGTGAAAACTGCTTTCTTGATTCATCTCCTTTGCAGATGGAAACTGTTTCAACAAAACCAGAAAAGTTGAGGTGTAAAAAATCCCTCCTCCCCGCACCCCCCTCCCCCCCGAAAAACAAAAGGAAAGAAAAAAAAAAATCACAAAGATCCCCTCGAAGTTTTACAGTTTTTAATAGGAATGCTTTTAGTAAAGATGGGTCAGGATGCAGGCATGCAGGAATAGAGGGTACATGGTGGGTCGGCGACAGCCCAGCCTGCTTGGATGTCGAAATGCAACCGAACAAAGAGGTGAGGAGATGGGATCAGAGCGTGGGGGGTGGAGCAAGTATGGTCAGGAGAGAGGCGGTTTATTTTCTAGAGTTGACAGTCTGTACACTGGAGGATGGGCAGATGAGCTGAGAGGCAGGGTGGAGGGGCGGGGGGGAGGAGGAAGGAACAGTCAAACGGTGGGGGAGAGAGGGGGGAGGTGGGGCAGAGGAAGTTTTACAGGTACTGTGGTGAAGGAGGGGCATGGCTCAAAGAAAGCACTCCAATGGAAACCAACAAGATCTTGTTTTAAACTTCTCATTTGTTTGTACGGTTTTTTGTATTTGTTTTTTTCTTAACATCTGAATCTCCCCCTAGCCTTGCGTCGTAGAGGTGGTTGGCCATGTTTCTACCCCAGCACTACATTGCATACTTTTGTGTCCATTCCCGGGCTATTTTGTTGTACCTGTGAACAGATCAAAAGCAAAAACAAAAAGGATCAGTCCTGGAATATTGGTTAAAAAACAATAACCATACATGCTAAAACGTTCCTACTTAGAATACACAAATATATTAAATAAAACTGCTGCCTGTTAAGAGCTTCTAAATGATTCCAGACTTAAAAAACAAAATTAAGAAAATTGAAACAAAAACATATGTAGTCTTGCTCCAAGATTAGATGTGTGCAGATAAATCTGCTGGTGTCATAAAGTTACGTGAATAAAGTCATATTATTACGAGAATAAAGTTGCAACATTACAAGAATAAAGTCAAAATATCATGAGAAGCTGGTGTGCTAAAAGATTTCCTTATTTATGAAACGGATGCAAAAGTATAACTTCACACGATGCTCCAGATTCCTCATTTTAGGGAATAAAGTGCTTCTTGTAAAAGTCATAAAATACAACTTTATTCTCGTAATGTTGCGGCCCTATTCTGTTAACGTTGTGGCCTCATTCTCGTAACGTTACAATTAGATTAGATTAGATTAGATTAGATGAGCTCTATTCATCTCACAGCGGAGAAATTCACTGGTCACATATTGGCATAATTAAAGAAGGTGCAAATAAGGAGGAAAAAAGTGCATTAGGAATAAACAATATATATAATATATCAAGGTATATACAGTATATCAACATAAATAAGGATTAGGGTGCAAGTGTACATACATGTATCACACACAATGAAAAACAAAATAAAAATAATAAATAAATAAAAAAATACAAAAAATACAACGGAGTAACACAGAGATTTGAGATGTCATATGTACAATCAGGATGGCTTATATACAGGTGGATTGACTTTTAGATTAGAGTGTAGTAGGTAAGGTACAACCTTATTCTCGTAATATTATGACTTTATTCTCGAAAGAAAAAAAATCTCTAGCCTGGCCCAAATACTCTGTGGTACCGTAGTTTCGGAGGTCCAACAGTTAGTTGAAAACTAAAATAACAGGTTCTTAGCCAATCAGTGAACACTCCGTACCTAAACACTCAGACGCTGCAGCAAACATGATCTTTGTGGTGGATGCTTACGCAGTAAAGGAAATGAAAAGGTCTTTGTTCAGTATTGTGAGTTTATAAATGAAATCAGAACAACTGAGAGATAAACTGATCTGTTTAAAAAAAAAAAAACCAAAAAAACATGAATGTTCTTCATTTCCAGAGAACATGAAGGCCAAGAGAAGCAGATTTATCTTTCTGAACATCTAACCTTCATCGTGGAATTTACAGTTAAGGTAACACAAACCAAGCCAATGATGGTAATTGTTAATAAAAATTCACAGCAAAAAATTAATGCTCATTCACAACCACTCCTTACAAAAAGGCAAAAAAAAAAAATGATTTCAAATCCTGTTCTTTTCTCTTTTTGGAAAGAAACCAAAACAGACTTTCCAAAAGCTTTCCATCAACAGCAATGGTACATCCGCAGGGAACGTTCTGATTGGTCCATCTTCATGGGAGATGCACGACTCAATCAAGGAAGCACAGCAAACAATGATTTATCTTCCAGCTCAATCAAAACATTTATGTTTCCAGGGAAAAATCCACTTAAAAATAAGAAACTAAGCCCTGGCTTCTGTATATTTTGAGTTTTCCTAATTTTCTTTATGCCTTCTTGTGGAGTAGCACTAAAACTGGGCAGAGTGACACTTAGCCCTAAGTGGAGCCAAAGGTGTGAAAAGCTGCCTGTCCTCTACCCATCTGCTCTGACAGTCATAGAAACCAAAATAAAATGAAGCAAAATGTTTAAAAGGAGAGAAAAACGTTGAAGGAAATGATGGCTGTAAAAGTGACTTACTTTTCCCTGTCAGTCTTGTAGATGCGGGCGATCTCGGGTACTAAGGGGTCGTCCGGGTTTGGGTCACACAGCAGGGAGCAGATCGACAGGAGAACTACAACAGAAAGATATTAAGACATAAAAATAAACATTTCCACTGGATAGCTACGTGATATTTTAAGAGCTTGCTATTTATCATATATGTGAAGAAACATTACAATCTTAAAGTCATGTGAATTTTGAGCTAATTTTTAAACATTGGGGGGAAAAAAGATCCAAATGAGACGCGTTTCCATCCCTTGGAGTGAATTAACCTGACAAAGCAGGGCGTCATGTCCTCACACATGTAGGATTTAGCCACTAATAAACAGGAAGTAGAGGTAGCAAGCTAGTGTGGACCACAGATCAGAAATTAAGGTTTAAGAAAATGTGTTATCAGGCATGTTGTATCATGTCGTCTAATATTAGCGATGGTTGACGCCATCGAAAGACTTGAGAGCGTAGCGAGATTTTGATGCTCCATTAAAGACGCTGACAGAGGAAACGGATAAAGAGTCTTGTGAGGTAAATGTTCACTTTAACAGAATATATTCATTAAATGTGTTTCCATCTCCTCCTTTGAATTTACAAAGTTGATTTAACTCTTCTTATGCAGTACTTTAACTTGCATATAAAAACCCATTGATGGAACATGTCTATTCATGCAGAAAAGCAGAGTCTGACATTAGAAGAGCAGAGTATAACTTGTAGCAAGTCATTTCAGAGAGACAGGAAGCAGCAGGTTCTGTCTTTAGTTAGCAGAGAGACCAGCAAACCTTTGGAGATGGTGAGAGCTGGAGACCACTGTGATCGCAGAATATCCAGACAAATGCTGCCGTTGCTGTTGATATTTGGGTGGTAGATTCTTGTGGTAAATGCAACCTGAGAGCAGAGATACACCGTTAATAAGAAGGGTGGGAAAACAGGGGCAGGCGACAAGCAAAGCAGGAAACTATATGATCTGTTTTTTTTTTCTTTGCCCTCAGCAGGCGAAAGGAAGCTGAATGCATCGGATGGTAACTTTGTTTATGCGTTCAGCTTCTTTGCATCCACGGCTTGTTTACCTTTGGCGGTTTGAAGGGGTAGTCTGTGGGGAAGTGTATGGTCAAGAAGAAAACCCCGCTCTGGTAAGGACTGTCATTCTGAAGCACAAAGAGACATTCGGTTTATAATATACTCCAAATGAAGAGTGATGTTAAAGGCTTTCTACAGGTTAAAAGTACAATGAAACATGAAGCAATAGGAAGCTGCAATATCAACACGTGACCACATGAGTACTTACAGGTCCCATTATCGTGGCTTGCCAGTGAAACACTACAACAACAAAACAGAAAAACTGGTTATCAAACACATTGAATATAAAAAGTTGTTTATTTTTACAGTTTGATAACAAACCTGCAGCTCAAAACAAACAAACCTCATAGTTTTTGTTTTTACTTCTCAATGGGACTAGATTTGTTCAGCTTACACCCAAAATATGAGCAAAAAAAAGGCAAAGTAGGTTACGGTAGCAGTTTGTTTGATGTTGGATGGCAGGAAATGACAGACAGCAGCCATGTTTACATTGGTTTTTCCATGGTGAGGTTTTCACGTTATAAAATGAGCAAAAGACCTGCTTAAGATCCCCACAGGGTCTCTGTTTCAGTTCCCAAATATATATATATTTTTTTTTTGGTGTGTGCCTTCAAAAAGAACCTCAAAGTCTTTTCTTTAACATTTAACAGAAATGCAAAAAGGTGGGCTGGTAATCCATCATTTTGTGCTTTTTTTTCCTTCTCTAAATTAGTGCATCAAACTGAAATTTCCCACAATGCATCAACCTGCAACACGTACTTTGACTTGGTCGAGCACAGTACACATCAGAAAAAGATCAAGGACATATCTTTTTGTGCAAAACTGGGAATAATCTTGAAATGTTTACTACAATTTCAAAACCGTCTGCATTTTCTGCTATGCATTAAATCCCATAAGAAATACATTAAAATCTAAGAATACAGCGACATCCATCCAGTCAAACAGTCAAGTGTTTTGTCAGTACCAAACAATTTTTGGTAAAATAATAAACACAAATTTTCATAGCAGATTAAAATAATTCATCACTGAAAGTTTTAAATATAGGAATGCACACTTTTTCAATTCAAAATGCCTTTTCAGCCATAAATGATTTTCTAAGGACCTGCATCATTGAAGTCATCTTCATTAAGTGCTTAGTTAACTTGTAAAAGCTTCGGTAAATATTTAACAACAAACCGAGTTTATTACAAATTACTGGAGTATTCCCAGAATACGTTAGATCCAGACTCTAGCATCAAACAAGAGTTTGATAACCATCAGCTCACAGGAGAGCTGGGGAGCTCCGGCTTGTTCTGTAAAACTTAACACTAATCGTTTCACTCTACATATTCACATAGTGGCGTGCAGTCTGTTAAACCAGTGGGCTGATTTATCTGGTCACCATTATCAG